AACCGACAGAGAGTGGCAGCAGTTGATCAGAGTGTTGTAGGAAGTACGAGGGGAGGGGGAGGGGGGACTGGGGGGGGAGGGGGGACAACATGAAGTCGCATCTGGATTTTGAAAACAGATTCTGTATTCGGGCAGTGATGTCTGCCGCCACGGCTACGGGGTAGGAATCATCGAGGCAGCCTTGCAGTGAATTTTTTAACCCTCCGTTTACTTATTGATTGATTTATTAATGATTTAATGGGTACTTACAGACGCTCCACCCAAATCTGTGATTTTCCAGAAAGAGACAGAAGGCTCTGATCTCCCCACCCAGAGACACCCCAGCCTGATCGCCAGTGTTCCGTTCACACCTCCAGACCCCTCACCATATCCCTTTGGGCTCCTTTCGTGGTGGCTGTCCTTCCCAAGGGGTTAAGCAAGGCGGTGGACAAGGTATTTCTACAGGTGATTATCTAAGCTCGAAAGACACGGTGAAAAGATTAAGCTGATGGGTGCTCATGGACTCGGAATGGAATGTGGATTAAAATCGACTTCGTATGGATTTACGAGACTCGGTCAGAAGCAGCGGGCCCGAGAGCAGGGAGACAGCCCCTGGCCCCTCACCTGGCTCGCCGGAGTAAGCTGGTACCTGAGCAACGAGCGCCTCCATCTCGCTCGGACGGTCAGAGGCTTGGTGGGAGAGGGACATGCGGATGACAGCTCTGCTCTGATGAATGGGAGTCGGGGGATGGGCACTAGAAATGTTCTAAGTCTTCAATGCAGGCTGGGGACACTGCGGGTGTTTTGGGGTGGCTACCCTGTTAAGATGGCACCCAGGCTTTCAAACTCACTCCCGTTCCCCTCCTCTGTTTGGGGAAGAGAATCTTCACTGCCAAGCCCAAACCGAGGGACAGTCACTGATGTGGGTGTCATCCACAAGCCACGTGGGGCATCAGGGGGATTGCCGCTGGAGTTTTCCACCCCGGAAGGAAGGGGCGGTGGGGTTTCGTCCACACGTCTGATGAGAGGGCTTCTCTGTATGTTTAAATGCAAGAATTACAGGGCAATTAGGTCAGTGGACCCAGGCAGCAGGTCTAGAGAGAATTCCTCAGGGCTTTGGGACGCTGAGGCCAGAAGGAAAGGACTAGAAAAAGGCAGGAGGGACTTGGTCCGGCAGAGACGGTCAACTAATTTGCTGGGGTGGGTTCGGGGCCCTAATGACAAGTAAGGGGTGTGAACTCTGCCTTCTCCTCGGTGAGCTCCCCAGTGATGGGGACAACGGACCAATAGCATGGTGCCTGCCGTGACTTCTGGGGACCAGAGATGTCTCTTCATCTCCCGCTCCAGTGGGATTTCCGGAGGAATTCTGCTTTCCCGATCTTTGTCATCCAAAGCCTTCCAGACTTTCAACTTGAATTGATACCTGTCTGGATCTGAAAAGGTTTGCTCACCTCCTCCCCCGGCTCTCTGCTTGACAGATGTGTCTCCATTTCTTCCAGCCTTCTAATTTGGGAAGTTATCCCAGTCTGCCCCCGCCCCCACCCCAACACACACACACACACTCTCCACTTTACCTCTGGGAAATGGAGCTCACCCTGCTGGGGACCTCAGCAAATCGGGTATGCTGGAAGGAACAGATCCTTTCTTCACATCAGCAATGCCCCCAGGTGTGCTCCCTGAGCTCACCTTTTGCCCGAGCAATGCCCCCAATTGTGGTACCTGTCTCACCTTCACATCAGCGATGCACCCAAGTGCTGCGGTCCAGCCACGACAGGATCCAGGGGGCCCCGAAGGTGGGCAAGGCGTCGGCGCGGGAGACAGTCGACTACACAGCTCAGAGGCGGTGTGACACTGTTCCGTTTTATTGTGATTGAGTACAACTT